CCTGGGTACAATATTTAAGTATTTTCCTGCGTTATTATTGCTATTTTAAAACATTTCTTTTAACGTGACTTGGTAAGATTAATGTCGTTTGAATATCATGTATTTCATCACAATAGTTACAACAACAACAGCAGCAGAAATAACAACAAAAACAACAACAACAACAACAACATCAACAACAACAAAAACAACAGCATCATCAACAACAACAACAACAACAACAACAACAACAACAACAACTCCAACAAAACGACAATTTTTACCTTGAAAGTCTCAATGTCGTAAGGGTTCCAGCTCTGCAGTGGTGTGAGGAAAATAATCTCCAAAGGAATGGCGTAGCTGAATCGTGTGTAGACAGTCTTGCATTCTTCTTGTTTCTTCCATTTGTTGTTTACTTTTACCTACAGATCACAAGCTATATATGTCTATCAATTTGTGGAGGTAATTGTGGTTTTGAGCGTTAAATCAATATTTTTTTTACTCATCGACATTTTTTCTCCTCCTCCTTCTATCTATCCTTCCTTACCCTCCTCGTCTTCAACTTTGTCCTCCTCCTCCTTTTCCTCCTTCTCCTCTTCCTCCTCCAGCTCCTTTTTCTCTTCCTCTTCCTCCTCCTCTTTCTCTTCCTCTTCCTCCTCCCATTCATTATCATCATCATCATCATCATCATCATCATCATCATCATCATCATCATCATCATCATCATCATCATCATCATCAATAATGAACAGTGGGAACTTCGGGTAGGGGCTTTTCCCAAGTGGAAAGAGCTGAGTCTCAAATCTCCGGATCCGTAATCTCACGGTTATGGGTCAATGTGTGTGTGCAACAGCAGTTTAACTATTCCAGTGCACACCGCCAATCAAATTCAGCCGAGCTCAGCCAGATGTTCCTCTACGCATAAGCAGAAGCTATCATTATGGCGTAACGTGGCCTAATCCAAGAAAATTCCACACTGACCTTCAAAAAACAAACGTGTCTCTTTTTCAAGGTCGCTAGTTGAACGATCAGATATGCGCAAAGAGCAGAATGCTGCATTGGACAGTGTCGATTAGGAGAAGCTGATACGGATAAACGTATTTAGGAAAAATGTCCTATGTCGGAAGAATTTAAGACCCTTTCAACACAGCAACTGCAAATGCAGCAGTTGACACAAGTAGCCAGTATGGCAAAATTGTGAACGACAATTTTTGTGTTCAATAACACCCTTCGCTATGTTGAATCTGACACAGCAAGTAGAGGGATGGGGGGGGGGATTAGCACAGGGAAATCGTTATTGATCAACCCGACACGACCAAATCCCAACCAACTTCATCCGACCCCACCCGACACCGCACCTGACCCCACCCGACTCCAATCGATTTGACCTGATCCGCAATGAGAGCATAATATCATTTGTAAACTATATTATTGACGCCACTATTATTGGTCTCCTGCGTTGCTGTATAC